GATGGCATCTAACAACAATGAGTTGGAACCGACATGATGGCACTCAACAACGTCAATAACAGCTAAGTATATATCTTTTCCATCAGCTCTATTGGCGTATCATTTCTGTACACTAAAACTCATACTTTTGAAGTATATGGTTTGATGGATTCTGGAAAATCTATGCACCTGTGTAAAGCACTTGGTTGCTAGCCAAAGAGCTACAGTTTGAACCCAGCAGGTGTTCTTCAGGAGAAAGATGTGGCAGTCTGTTTCTGTAAAGGTGACAGCCTTGGCAGCCCTCTGGGGCAGTGCTGCTCTGTCTGACCAGGTCTTTATGAGTCAGAATCAATTTGACAGCAGTGGACTTTAACCACCAGTATAGAACATTCCATTTAGAACTTGGCAGTCAAATCGATGTCTGCTCCAGGCAATCACCAATCTGCTTTCTGTCGCCATAGGTTAGTTTTTCTGCTCTTGAAACTAGAGAACATTATGCCCTTATTAGGGCCCAGCTTTGCTCCCTGTATAGACTTGCTGTAATATCCACCCACATCCTTGCGCCAGTAGCTCATTTCTTTTTATTGCTGAGTTGTATCAACTTCAGAGATGGATATGTCACGATTGGTGTGTCCATTCATTTGCTGATGGATATTTGGGTTATTTTCAGGAAATGTAATTTTGTTTTTCTTCTATGTAATTTAAAAAAAAAAGGTCTGTTTTGGGCTTTTCATTGCTGGTATATAGAAATACAAGTAGGTTTGTGTTATTGGTTTTGTTTTACTCAATATCTGGCAGCTTTGTTAAATTCATTACTTCTAAACCCTTTTTGAAGAATCCCTGGAAATCTCTGTGCAGAAAATCATGCCATCTTCAAGTAGAGAGACAGTTTTTCTTCTTCCTTTCCAATTTGTATGACTTTTATTTTTCTTGCTTTATTGCACAAGCTAGAGCCTTCAGTACATTGTTGACGAAAGTAGTAAGAGCAGACATCTTTGCCTTGTTCCCTATCATAGAGAGAAAACATTCAGTCTTGTACTATTAAGTATGCTGTTAGCTGCAGGGTTTTGTATGTTCTTTATAAGGCTGTTGTTGTTGGATACCAGTTGAGTCGGTACCAACTCAGAGTAAGCAATGGCTCAAGCATAGCAACGATTGTGAGGTTGGTGCAGGACCGGGCAGTGTTTTGTTCTCTTGTTCATAAACTTTCAATGAGTTGGTACCAAACTGAAGGCACCTAA